ACTCAATTTACGTGATCATCCTGTCTCTACTCGACGAGTCGGGCTACAGACTCATCAAGCACCCCTTAAGAGATGAAAATACTTTATTTAAATCACATACCAGAAATGAGGCGTTACACCAACACACCTCAACAAAATGGTGTAGATGAGAGAAAGAATCGACATCTTGCTGAAATTTGTTGAAGCATGCTACACACGAAGAATGTCCCAGGAAGATTTTGGGCTGAAGCAATGCGAACTACTGCCCATGTGATCAATAAACTTCCCCAACCAAGGTTAGGTTTCATCTCACCATTTGAGACACTATAGAACATGAAACCTACTATTAGCTCCTTCCGAGTATTTGGTTGCGTCTGCTACGTATTTGTACCTAGTCATTTACGTAGCAAGTTTGACAAGAAAGTAGTCAGGTGTATATTTGTTGGATATGACAACCAAAGAAAAGTATGGAGGTGTTGTGATCCAACAAGTGGAATATGCTACACTTCAAGAGATGTAGTGTTCGATGAAGCATCTTCATGGTGGTCATCAGAGAAGAAAGTATTACCAGACTCGGAAAATATTGAAGAAATTCTAAAAGAAAATAGGGGGGAGTAAACTGCACACATTTGGTCAAGTGTTGACACACCTGAAGATCCAAGTGACACTGAGCAAGAAGTGACTCAAACAAGTAACGTTGATGAAAGGGAGACATCACCTCCACAACTTCGAAGGCGGAAAGAATATGAAAGCCTAATCCCAAATATGCTAATATGGCCATTTTAGAAGAAGGTGTTAAAGAGCCAGAGACGTATGAAGAAGCATTTAAGAATAAAGCCTGGTAGAAGGCAATGGAAGAAGAAGTTATAGCCTTAGAGCAGAATTAAACTTCGGAACTAGTACCAAGACCAAGTGATATAAAACCCATTTCCTGCAAGTGGGTTTATAAAATAAAGCATCGTCCAGATGGATCAATTGAGAGATACAAGGCTTGTATGGTGGCCCGAGGGTTCTCACAACAATATGGATTGGACTATGATGAAAAATTTAGTCCAGTGGCGAAGATAACTACTGTACGGGTGCTTCTAGCTCTTGCAACTAGTAAAGGCTGGAAATTATGGAATATGGATGTGAATAATGCTTTCTTGCATGGAGAATTAGACCGGGAGATCTACATGAACCAACCCTAAGGGATTTGAGGATGAAGTTAATCCCAATCATGTGTGCAAGCTGAGAAAAGCTCTTTACGGATTGAAGCAGGCACCAAGAGCCTGGTATGGTAAGATTGCTGAATTTCTTACCCGAAGTGGTTATTCAGTTGCACATGCAGACTCAAGCCTGTTCGTCAAAGAAAAAGAAGGGAAGTTGGAAATTGTGTTGGTTTATGTGGATGACTTGATCATCACCGAGGATGACGAAAGAGAAATCCATCAAACAAGAGAAAATCTATCGGTGCGATTCCAAATGAAAGAGCTGGGGGAGCTTAAACACTTCTTAGGGCTAGAAGTTGATCGTGCAAAGGAAGGGTTATTCCTCTGCCAACAAAAGTATACAAGAGATATACTTCAAAAGTTTGGCATGTCGGAGTGTAAGCCATTATCAACACCAATTGAGCCAAATTCCAAGATATGTGCTCATGAAGGAAAAAAGTTGGACAATGGAACAATGTATCGACAACTAGTGGGTAGCCTTATCTACCTAACTTTATCTCGACCTGACATCACTTATGCAGTTGGAGTTATGAGTCGATACATGCAAAGTCCGAAGAAACCTCATTTGGATGCGGCCTGACGAATCTTGAGATATGTCAAAGGTACAATTGACTATGGTCTCTTTTATAAAAAAGCAGAAGAATGCATGTTGGTTGGATATTGTGATGCTGACTATGTAGGAGACCATGATACCTGAAGATCAACCACTGGGTATGTGTTCAAGCTTAGGTCGGGGCCAATATCATGGTGTAGTAAAAGACAACCAACCGTATCATTGTCAACCACATAAGCGGAGTACAAAGCAGCAGCCGTAGCAGCTCAAGAAAGTACATGGTTGGTACTCCTAATGGAGGACTTACATCAAAAAGTTGACTATGCAGTACCACTTCACTGCGATAACCAATCTGCAATTCGACTGGCAGAAAATCCAGTATTTCATGCTAGAACAAAGCATGTGGAAGTACATTATCACTTTATCAGAGAGAAAGTCTTGATGGAAGAAATTGAGATGCGGCAGATCAAGATCGATGACCAAATAGCTGACTTGTTCACCAAAGGGCTGAGTACTGTAAAATGTGAAGGTTTTCGCTATCAGCTTAACATGGTACGAAGAATGGGGTCTAGTGTTGAGGGGGGGGGGTGTTAAAGATCATCACTAGCCCAATAAGAACAAACATTATCTAGAAGACTTTAGCTTCTTCTAGAATGATCTAGAAGATTCTAGAACATTATGGAAGACTATGGAAGACTCTAGAATATATCGGAAGAGTCTAGAATACTCTAGAACGACATGGAAGACCCTGGAAGGTTATGGATCATTCTAGAATACACTGGAGCAACCTAGACCTCTACAGAACATGGTAGAACGTTCTAGAAACATATGGAAACATGTAGAGTATGTTAGATAGTTCTAGAGTTATCTAGTATGTAGTAAGTGTATGCTAGTATCTAGAACCTTCCTAAGAGGCCTATAAATAGGTATGGAGCTCATTTGCTCCAAACCATCTAAGAAAGCCTAAAAAAAAAGCAAAGTGTATTGTAGTCTCACAAAGTGTAAGTTCTTCTTAAGTGTATTAATAAAAGTCTTTTTGTTTCCCACACAAAGAGTCATGTTCAACACAATTTCCATCATCCAGATGCAAAACAGAGGTGAAGGAGGAAGAACTATTAATTTGTTTCATCGTGCGTGTTTTGAGTGTGTTTTGTTTGAACTTTCCAAACCTAAGATATCTCTAAAATGAGGGTATAATTGTTCATCCATATTTTCTCAGTGGATGGATAAAAAAAAGCTTTGTGGTAAAATCATCAACCCTATATATATATATATATATATATATATATATATATATATATATATATATATATATATATATATATATATATTCATATTTTTTGTTATATACACGGTTTAATTAAGTAGCATTGCTATTATAAATAAATATATATACTTACTGTCAAGGATGTACTAATACAAATCAAGTTTCACACTCAACAACATAAATTGGAGTTCACCTCGATCAAACCTCTTCTTTTATTCACTTATTTAAGATAGTTGATTGATTTCTCACTTATGTATACCTCAACCTTAAAATCCCCTATGTTACAACTCACATGGTCACCTAAATATGTATAATTCTTTTTCTACCATTAATATTGATGGGGAATTGCATATTTAGACTTCAATCAACAATCAGGGTATATACCCAGTCAAATGAAACTCATATGTATTACTCAATAGACAAGTTAAAAATTATGTATCTGTACACGTATGTTTCTTTATACAGATAAACAAAGTGAGGTCATTTTTGTTCATAAAAATCTCACAGTATCTAGGTCTAAAAATCAGTCATAGTTATAGAATGATTTTCTATAAGGATGACTGTGGTATGTGTTTAACTCTTCATCTGCCTCTACTCTTTATCCCTTAATTAACTTTTGATTGCTGAATGAGCTGTTGTGATTTAAATACAAATTTGTCATACATACATACCTATCATAAATACATACACACATATGTGTCATATACATATGTAGCTGTTGTATATATACACCCCGGTCATATCAATGATATCATACATACATACATACTTACCCATCATACATACATACATGTCATATATATACAACGTTCTGAAAAACAGGTCATACATACATACATACATACATACATACATACATACATACATACATACATACATACATGAATATGAACAAAACTACAGTAATGACAAAGATTTGAAGAAAACCAATCATACTTTCAAACATCTCCAAGTATCATATTCTTTCCTATGAACTAAATTACCCAACAAAAATACTCAAATGAGATGAATCTACCTGGCAGAAGAAGTAGAGGTCGATCAACAAAGATTCCACATGAGAAATTCCATGAAACACACTTTATGGGGTTGCTTATCAATTTAGGCTCAATCTTACCTTCCTTCAAGGAGTCCAAACATTAAAAGGAAAAATTATAAACTATTTGACCTTTTAAATCCAAAAACACCAGTTATGGGCAACAAATCTTAACGCCACCACACAAACTTTCATTCTCAAGGTTAGTGATACTCGGCTTCTTGAGGTTTGGGCATGAAATACAAAGAAGATCAAGTTTCCATATCGAGCATTCTACCAAACTCAGGTCCTCAAGCAATGAGCAGCTTTGGAGAAAATCTTTTACCAAGGTGTTGTTTGATTTTCTGAAGCAAAAATTCATGAAGTCTGCGGACCATCTCTTCAACCCTCTGCAGTAGAAGAGGTTGACCAAACGGCTGCAAACTATAATAAAAAGTGTGTTTTTTTTTTAACATCTGCATACTGTTGCACATATTAAAAAATTAAAATAAACTAATTTTATAAACTGAAAATAATTTTTTAATACGGAAAATTTAATAATGTATAACATTTCGGAAAGAATTAATGATATTTCAATAAAAAAAAAATAATGATATTTCAACAAAACAATAAATATATTTTAGTAAAAAATAATTATATTTTATCAAAAAATTATCATTATTCAATATAAAAAAATGAAAAAAAAAATAAATAAACTAAAATAAACAAAAAAAAGAAAAAAAAAGGTGAAATAAAATTTAAACATATAATCAAAATTTTAGCAAGAAAAAAAGAAGACGAGGTTGGAAGATGCATTACACGTGTTGCGCCAAACAGAGCACGCACAAATGTTTTTGACTCCGAAGACTTCTAAAAACAAATAGCTGCGAGATGAAAAGTATTGCGCGTGTGCTGCGCTGCGCAACAATAAGATGTGTGAAGAGGTTTTTTTCCAAAAAAACAAACGACACCCAAATCTCAATCTTTCAATAAGTCAACACATGTCAAGTCAAGAACCCCAAGTGCCGGAAATCCCATAAAATTAGGCAAAATCAGACCACATCCATCCAAATTTAACCTTAATACCTTCAAGGAACCGGAAGTCGCCAGACAATGGTGCATCTTGACATCCTCCTCCTCCTTAGGAGTACAGATTAAGTCAAGCTCTTTGATGTTCTTCATAACGGCAATGTGAATCCACCGCCCTATAAGAGACATACCGTAGTAATTCGAACAACGTAAACGGAAAATATCTAAATCAATGGACCTGCTTACTAAAACCCAGTACACAAACTCTTTAAATTTATTTCATTTGAAGTTTCCTGGATTCCTACGTCCTTGATAACAGTATATGTCTACACAGGAGACTGAAGTCCACAAATACCTCCATCTTTTGGACAAAATGTTGGTTCGAATTGCGTCTTCAATAAATGGCAGACCTGAAAGACTAAGAAGAAGAACTGGTTCCGACATACCACTTATCAAATCGAGTCATCTTCGCGTAAATGGCATACCTGAAAGAATCAGAAGAAGAACTGGTTCTGGCATATCATTTATCAAATCGACTCATCTTCGCGTTTTGATGCCATTGGTTGCTCATATTTCTTCATGCTTGTGAATACAAAATTATTCGGACTAGTAAACGGATTTCAATTGCACAAAACAAGGTTCTCTTCGAAGAAAACCCGTAGCTTCTCTATTTACATAAAGGGATTTTCGCATCAAAAACTCCCGCTCTCTCGCTTTTACGAGTAAAATACATATTTGGTCCCTGTGGTTTGTCCAAATTCATATTTTTCATCCTAGTATTGATTTTTAAGCGGTGCGGTTTTTTGATGAGGTGTGGTTTTTCCGATTCCTGTTCGGTTTTAAACCACATAAGTTTGCGTTGTTTTTGGAAAATTTTCTTTGAAACTCATTCAAAACTTGGACCAACTCGGTCTAAATTAGACCAAAGTAGGTCAAACTCAGATTAAATCATACCAAAATCAATCTAACTCAATAAAAAAAACACCAAACAACTCATAAAAGCCAACCGTTTCAATGATGCACTACGTTTTTCTGTTCCGAACTTGGGTATGCTTGTCCTTTTATAATGCTACATTGCCGCCCATTTGTTTCCCACCCAACGATGTGAGACAGGTGGAATAGCCAAGAAATCATCCTTTGTTGCTTTCCTTCAATTTGTTCCATGGCAAATCAGAATTTATACAACTTGTTCGCTTTGGTTCATAATGAAAACCATCGACTAGATTTATCCATCAAATACCACAAATAAATATATTAAATTCATAAAGCTAAACTTAAAACTGCTAATCGAAGATTTCCATGTTTGAAATTAATATTTAAATATTCATTTTAGATGATTAGAAAGAAACATGTTCTTTAAGTTAAAAAATACGAACAAGCTAGAACTTAGTCTCCATATTGAAGGAGACTGTATTAATTAAACAAGTTGTATGAATCGAATAAGACAAAATCAAGGGGACAAGTTGTATATGTAAGTTTAGAAGTGTAGGTTTGCAAATCTAGGACCTGCTTTAATCACAAGCAAACCAAGAACAGTGGAATAAAAGAACGACAACAAATTTGATATTACTTGGTAAACAAAAAATTTTATTGCTGGAAAATCTTAATTCAAGTTAGGCAAAACGTAGTCCCTATTTATACTAATTATGATTGAATCCTAAACAAACACAAAAACTTAATAATTTTTTTTCCTAAAATACCCTTGCTTTAATATCTGATTAACCAACAATCACCCCCCTTAATCGGATTTGTCATACGAGCCACTCGTTCAAAACAACGCCGATTCCTCTTCGATTAGGCCCGCCTCTTCTTTTTCCCATTTAGGACACTCGTTGCTATAGTGACCAAGCTCACCACATTTGTAACATTTAATGTGACTTTTATTCCGTTGGAAACGTTCACCATCTCGACTTTTCCGGGACCCCAACCTCTTCCCCGGCCACGTCCAAAGCCTTCCCGAATTGAACCTCCATTGCCACAATGCTTGCAAACATGTGATTTTTCCTCACTAGCCAACAACAACCCACCTTGAGTGTCCTCCACTTTCTCGGTTCCTCTTATACACTCCTCGTACGCCTTCAATCTACCAACCGCTTCATCAAATAACATTGAATCTAACTCGAAACATTGCTCAATTGAAACCACGATTTGAAAAAACGACTTAGGCATCGAATCTAGTAACCTTTTTACCAAATCACCTTCTTCAAGCTCATATCCAAGACTCCTTGCTTTTGAAGCTAAACCGGATAATTTTGTCACAAAATCATCAACCATTTCATCCTCCTTCATGCGTAAACTTTCAAGCTCCCTTTTTAAGGTTGCAAGCCAAGCCGTTCTCACCCGATCCACTCCCAAATACCGTGTTTTTAGCCCATCCCACACTTTCTTTGGTTCGGTGTAACTCTCCATTTGCAACACCATATCTTCGGGTATCGCTTGAAACAAAAAGGCTAGAGCTTGTTTTGACTTCTTTTGATCCGATGCTTCACCTAACGCCTTTGGTTCGATTGTCTCCCATATGCCATGTGCATCCATAATCGACTTGACTTTGACCGCCCACATCGGATAATTCGTTTGAGTCAAAACCGGAACTTGATATGTCATCGAACCTTCTTTCATCGCTATTCTTCCTTTTTATAGCTTCAACCCTGTTCCGATCAAACTTGTTCAAAAAGATCTATTCCACCGATCAAGAAAACAAGCAACCCGCTGTACCGTCTTCTTGTACCTGCAAAACGAACCAAATCCAAAGCCACCTGCTTTGACGGATCTCTTCCGTTCGTTTATTCCACACCTCCCCTATTAGTTTCTTTCACCCGAACAAGCCTCCAATCAAAGGATGAAGCCTACACCCCTCTTACTCGAACCAACCCTCTTTAACCTTCGCTCTGATACCAAGTGTAAGTTTAGAAGTGTAGGTTTGCAAGTGTAGAACCTGCTTTAATCACAAGCAACCCAAGAACAGTGGAATAAAAGAACGACAACAAATTTGAGATTACTTGGTAAACAAAAACTTTTATTATTGGAAAATCTTAATTCAAGTTAGGCAAAACGTAGTCCCTATTTATACTAATTATGATTGAATCCTAAACAAACACAAAAACTTAATAATTTTTTTTCCTAAAATACCCTTGCTTTAATATCTGATTAACCAACAATCACCCCCCTTAATCGGATTTGTCATACGAGCCACTCGTTCAAAACAACGCCGATTCCTCTTCGATTAGGCCCGCCTCTTCTTTTTCCCATTTAGGACACTCGTTGCTATAGTGACCAAGCTCACCACATTTGTAACATTTAATGTGACTTTTATTCCGTTGGAAATGTTCCCCGGCCACGTCCAAAGCCTTCCCGAATTGAACCTCCATTGCCACAATGCTTGCAAACATGTGATTTTTCCTCACTAGCCAACAACAACCCACCTTGAGTGTCCTCCACTTTCTCGGTTCCTCTTATACACTCCTCGTACGCCTTCAATCTACCAACCGCTTCATCAAATAACATTGAATCTAACTCGAAACATTGCTCAATTGAAGCCACGATTTGAAAAAACGACTTAGGCATCGAATCTAGTAACCTTTTTACCAAATCACCTTCTTCAAGCTCATATCCAAGACTCCTTGCTTTTGAAGCTAAACCGGATAATTTTGTCACAAAATCATCAACCATTTTATCCTCCTTCATGCGTAAACTTTCAAGCTCCCTTTTTAAGGTTGCAAGCCGAGCCGTTCTCACCCGATCCACTCCCAAATACCGTGTTTTTAGCCCATCCCACACTTTCTTTGGTTCGGTGTAACTCTCCATTTGCAACACCATATCTTCGGGTATCGCTTGAAACAAAAAGGCAAGAGCTTGTTTTGACTTCTTTTGATCCGATGCTTCACCTAACGCCTTTGGTTCGATTGTCTCCCATATGACATGTGCATCCATAATCGACTTGACTTTGACCGCCCACATCGGATAATTCGTTTGAGTCAAAACCGGAACTTGATATGTCATCGAACCTTCTTTCATCGCTATTCTTCCTTTTTATAGCTTCAACCCTGTTCCGATCAAACTTGTTCAAAAAGATCTATTCCACCGATCAAGAAAACAAGCAACCCGCTGTACCGTCTTCTTGCACCTGCAAAACAAACCAAATCCAAAGCCACCTGCTTTGACGGATCTCTTCCGTTCGTTTATTCCACACCTCCCCTATTAGTTTCTTTCACCCGAACAAGCCTCCAATCAAAGGATGAAGCCTACACCCCTCTTACTCGAACCAACCCTCTTTAACCTTCGCTCTGATACCAAGTGTAAGTTTAGAAGTGTAGGTTTGCAAGTGTAGAACCTGCTTTAATCACAAGCAACCCAAGAACAGTGGAATAAAAGAACGACAACAAATTTGAGATTACTTGGTAAACAAAAACTTTTATTATTGGAAAATCTTAATTCAAGTTAGGCAAAACGTAGTCCCTATTTATACTATTTATGATTGAATCCTAAACAAACACAAAAACTTAATAATTTTTTTTTCCTAAAATATCCTTGCTTTAATATCCGATTAACCCAACAGTATAAATATTAATTAAATAACTATTATTATATATAAATATATAAATATATAATTTATTTACTCTAATATAATTGTGGTGTGCGGTTCGTTTATTTTTGTTGGTGTATATATCAAAACCACTGCACCGAAAACTTTGGGTATTTGCAAAACTATACACACAACCGTCGATTTTTGTTTCGGTTTCGATTTATGCGATCTTTTTGATTTTTGCTCACTCTAATAATATATATAAGGATGAGCATTTGACCCGGTTGAACTTTACCGGAACCGAAACCAGGGTCTTCGGTCCAGCTGCATAGGGCCTAAATTTTTTAGGGGTCCAATTTTATTTTATATATTATATTTGAGCCCAATCAAAAGTGATAGTCCAGACTCCAAAACTGCTAATCGACCGGTCCACCATGTACAAGAAAGCAAAAGCAATACATGGTCAGTCATCAATCGATCAGACTTACGCTCACCATGACCGATAGTATCTATGGAAAAAAAAAGTTTTTCGAAATTGAAGTTTTTGAAATCTTACTTACGTTCCACAATGACCCAATAAAGAGTTAGCGGTTCAGCGATGATATCTATCGAAACGAAATCATAGAAAGTGTAGACTACAAAAAGTTTATCTTTGCTATCAAGAATGCTAGGAGAGCTTCATGGATCGTCAGTTAGCTTACGGCATGTCATTACTTATTAAAATACCATGATTTTGCTATGTCTATTGCTATAAAATTTATTGCCGTTTAAAAAAAAGTATAGCTTATATAATTTAATTCGTAACATGTTAGTGTTAAGAGCCTTTCTTTCCGGCTTGTCCTGGGCATTTAAATTCTCAGCAACGGCCCCGCCACTAAATCAGTTTCTGCTTCTTCGGTTTTTGGTCCGGTTCCAAACCTTTATACCCTTCGAAAGCAACAGTTAGTTCTTAACTTCTATAACCGAAAACTTATAATTGCTACCCATTCATACGTAAATTAACTTTAACAAATTCTAATACTTAAGTCTAGCTTAATTTCCAGCGGTTTGGAGGTATTCCTCACACGCATCATAAATGCTGGAACTGGAAGCACTACATAAACATCCACATTTTAACATCAATGTCGTCATAGAGTATGAGTCTTGTTTGACTTAGGTCAAGTCTTCACATAAAAAAAGTGGTAAAGACCCTAGCAGAGATTTCCCACTAACTTTTCGCCCTGATGAGTAAGTGCCACAAATTAAATCTCCTCATACCCTCTCATCGATTCTATTGTATCATTTCCCTTTTGTATTACCATTAGAAATTAGAAATTTAGAATGCATTTGCATTTTCATCAACAATTTCAACAACGTACTTTGACTTGTATAAAACTTCCAAAGCCAAAACCCCAAGACTCTCCTTCAGCATAACCAACTCTAAACTATATTATTTAAAATAAAATACTCTATTACGATGAAAACAATATCACAATTCACAAAACATGACTCTAAAACAACATCGTACTCATACTTTGCATTTGCGCTAAAATCACTGGTTTATAATAGTTGAAATGGCCCTAAATAAAGTAAAAACTATTACAGCAGAATATGAACAAAATTGTAAAACCAAAAAAGTATTTTTCTAGTTTATAAGACTGAAAATGAAGCAAAAGTCCAAATCCAAAAAGCATCCAAGGAAATCAGTTCTTCAAAAGAGGGAACCTGACTCCAATATCACCCCAAGACCCAAGTGAAAAACAAAAGCAATATATCAATAGTCCAGTCTATAACTAGTTTCGGTTGTTCTCCATTGAATTTGAAAAACTCGACCCTTTTCACATCTCTACTCAAGATTCTCCTTGTTTTAGCTTCATCCAACCACTGGTATTTTCCATGAAAATCCTAGATCAATAAACAAAAGCATAAGTTTTTCATACGAGGTGCGAAAATCTACTATGGTGTTATGAATTCTTGAAAAATCTATTTATTGGCTCAATTGCTTAGTAATTTAATATGCACAAAACAATACACTAAGGAAGTTGTGGAAGTGAGTAACTGTCTGTGCTTCAAGAATGTGATACATAAAAAAAAGACAACCAATTGATGTGAGAATACCTTGTCAATGTTCATCTTGAGAGACTTCAGTTTGGGATAATATTTGAGAACTTGGTTGAAGTTATCCATGGTGAAGTCATCCATAGTTGTGGTTAGCCACAAAATCTTCAGAATCAAGTTTTAATCATGATTTGGGTCAACTCTTTTACTATTAAATTCCACTGCAAAAAATTTTTACCTAACCAAAATGAATGAATGAGGATAAAGAGAATGCGCATCTAACCTTTCTGAAGAGGCAAAGGTCGATCCACAAAGATTCCACACGAGAAATTCCAGGAAACAGCAAGGATATGGTGTTCCCCGCCAATTTAGGCTCAATCACAGCTTGCTTCAAGGAGTCTAGACGTTCATTGAAAGAATTACACCTTATATGACCTGTTAAATCCAAATCCACCAGTTTTGGGCAAGAAAGCTTAATGTCACAACAGCGCCCATCTTCATCTTCACAGTCAATACTCAGCGTCTTGAGCTTCGGACATGAAATGCAAAGAAGATCAAGTTTGCATAACACGCAGTCCGATAAAAACAGATCCTCAAGGGATGGGCAGCTTTCGAGAAAATCTTCTACCAAAACTCTGTCGTCTAATAAGTCAACATCGGTCAATTTAAGAAACCTAAGTGCCAGAAACCCCTTAAACCTTGGCAAACTTAGTCGACGACTGCTGATATAACTTCCATGGAAACTTAATACCTCCAATGAACCACAAGTCACCAGACAATGGGGAAATTCGATTGCTTTAGTCTCGTCCTTGGGATAAAAGGACACGTCAAGTTGTTTAACGTTTCTGTTGACTGCCATATGAATCCACCGCAAGACTGTTGCCATACTGTAGTAATCATCACAACAAAGACGAAACCTATCCAAATCTACGGTTTTGTTTGCTAGAACCCAATATACAAACTCTTTGAATTTGGTTTTTTTGAATTTCTTTCCGTAACGTATATCCAGAGACGGAATTGCAGTCCACAAATTCCTCCATCGTCTCGACAAAATGCTGCTTCGGATTGCTTCTTTCGTGGATGGCAGACGTGAAAGAATCAAAAGAAGAATAGCATCTGGTATGTTACTGATCAAATCGACCCCATCTTTGCGTTGTGATACCTTTGATCGCTTGGATTTCTTCATGCCTTTTAACCGAATAAAAAAGTATTCAGAATTGAATGTACTCTTTCTGTTTCGTTTCATAAAGGTGACAATTTTTTAAGATGATATAAGGGTACTTTTGGAATCGAATTTGTTTTAGTTTTTTAAAGAACCAGCAAAAAAAACCCTTAAAGCCCAATTTTTTTTTTTTTTTTTAAAGAATCCAGCAAATCATTAGCTAAAATAGCAAAAAGACAAAATCCCCTTAAAAAACACTTTAATCGCTGAACCACTAGACGCGTGTTCGACATGGATCGTTTGAGAGCTTCTAATTTTTAGCGTTTAACAAAACGCTCTGTTTTGAAGAGAAAATCTCGTTTAACACTACAAGCTTCTAGCGTTTACTTTAAATAAAACGCTCCAAATCCAAATACTATTTCATGTAACGTTTAACAAAACGTTATAAGCTACTCGCTACCAGCTAGTTTTACTGAACATGTCTAAATTAGGGAACCTTCCATAGGAGCAATGGCTATTCCAACAATTTTTCTTTGTTGGGACACTTTTTGTGATATAAACCTGACCACACACAAAGTCAGAAACATCTTCCTTGTTTCATTGTAGGCGTGACTTTAGTTTTTCCTATGTTTGAAAATAAGCCATACATTTGGTAGAATAATAAATTTGGTTGCAGCTAACCATTACTTTTACCAAGTAGTTAGTATTTTTAAGCTTATATAAGAAGCCGAATCATAGGCTTGAAAGATAGAATATATCCCATTTTGTAATTTGTCTTTCAAATATTTTATCAACAATAGCCTTTTAGCAACATCTCCATGCACGTCCAATTTATTTAGATAACATCTGAAACCCATATTTGTTCACAAAACTTTAGCTTTCTTGCATACAAATTATTTTATAAATTCCAACAAGTGGTATCAGAGCGAGGTTAGTGTATGCCAAAATATATGCCAAGAATGACAACTCTCGAAGGTGAAGGTGTTCAAAAAACCGAGAAGAACAGCAGTGTTACGTTACACTATCCGATGCTTACAAAGCTAAATTACTCGGTGTGGGCTATAAAGATGCATGTGAATCTGCAAGCACAAGGAGTGTGGGATGCAATTCAAAAAGACGACGTGGATGAACGAAAAGATCGGATGGCTCTTGCGGCTATCTATCAAGCGATTCCGGAGGACGTGCTACTTATGTTAGCTGAGAAGGACACGACTAAAGAAGCATGGGAGACGCTGAAGATGATGCACATGGGCGCCGATCGAGTAAAGGAGGCTAAAATTCAAACCTTGAGAAGCAATTTCGAGGTTATCCGAATGAAAGACGGTGAATCGGTGGATGATTTTTTCATACGGTTGAATACCATTGTAACTGGTATTCGATCTCTGAGCGAAAAAATAGAGGAGATTACGGTTGTGAAGAAGTTCCTTCGAGTCGTCCCATTACGATTTATGCAAATCGTAACATCTATCGAACAATTTGGTGACTTAAAAAACATGACTGTGGAAGAGGTTGTGGTTCGTTTAAAAACCCATGAAGAGAGGCTTCGGGGTTATGGTGAACAAGGAGACGGACCTTACTTGTTGCTTACTCATGCCGAGTGGGCAGCACGATCCAAGAAGACCGACGAGGGGAGCTCGTCAAACACCTCAAAGGAGAGAAGTGGTCATGGTGGTCAAGGCCGAGGGAGAGGCCGAGGATGAGGGCGTGGCCGAGGAGGTGGCCGTGGATGCAATGCAAACCAAAATGACTATAAAACAGATAAAAGCAAAGTAAAATGCTTTCGGTGTGAAAAGTTTGGTCATTATGCATTAGAGTGCCCTGAAAAGAACCAAGGTGAGGAGGCGAACCTCACACAAGCCAATGAAGACCAACCCATCTTGATGATGGCAATCTCACAAGAATATGTACCCGGAAAGGTGTCGCTAAACGAGAAGATTTGTGTCAATCTTCTTGCCTCGGGGGAGAGTTGAGTGGAATCCGAGGTGTGGTATCTCGACAACGGTGCTAGCAACCATATGACGGGAGACCGCTCAAAGTTTCATGAGTTAGATGGAAATGTGACGGGTCACGTGAGATTTGGCGACGGTTCTACTGTTGCTATTTTTGGAAAAGGCTCGATTCTATTCGATTGCAAAAATAGCGACCAAAGAATTTTAAATGAAGTATACTACATCCCAAGTCTAAAAAGTAACATTATTAGTCTTGGTCAAATGATGGAAGAAGGAAGTCGAGTCATTATGGACGGGTCGGATTTGACGGTATACGATAGAAATAAGATTCCACTTTTAAAAGTTCAAAGATCCGCAAACCGGTTATACAAAACTCCTTTGAAAACCGGTAGACCAACATGTCATTTAGCCACGAAGGATGAGCCGGCTTGGATATGGCATTCTAGACTCGGTCATGTTAACTTTCCCGCGTTGAAGAAGTTGTCCGAAAAGAATATGGCAACTGGAGTTCCAAGGATTGAACATCCGAATCAAGTATGTGAAGGGTGTGTTCTTGCAAAACAAAGTAGAATCTCTTTCCCAAACCAATCAGTTTTTCGAGCTCAAAAACCACTTCAACTTGTTCATGCAGACTTATGTGGTCCGATCACACCTACTTCTATTGGAGGAAGCAAGTATTTTCTTCTTTTAGTCGACGATTATAGTCGGTGGATGTGGGTTTATACGTTATCCGGGAAGTTTGAAGCCTTTGGAGTTTTCAAACGTTTCAAGTTGATGGTCGAAAAAAGTTTGGGTTATGAATTGAAGACACTTCGCACAGATCGAGGGGGAGAGTTTACATCAAAAGAATTTTCATTATTTTGTGAAGAAAATGGAGTAAAAAGACATCTTACGACACCATATTCGCCTCAACAAAATGGTGTTGTAGAAAGGCGAAATTGTACGGTTATGGATATGGCAAGAAGTCTCCTTAAAGGAAGAAATGTACCCGGAGAGTTTTGGGGAGAAGCTGTTAGACATGCAGTTTATCTTCTAAATCGTTTACCTACAAAAGCGCTCACCGACATCACGCCGTATGAAGCATGGTTTGACAAAAAACCAAACCTTGAACATTTGAAGGTTTTTGGTTGTGTTGTCTTTGCCAAAAGTGTAGAAGGTCATTTGAAGAAACTTGAAGATCGAAGCAAAAAGATGGTGTATTTTGGAGTAGAAGATGGAACTAAAGGGTGTCGATTATTTGATCCGGAGAGTCGGAAATTGCGGGTTAGTCGTGATGTTGTTTTTGACGAAAACGAAGGATGGAATTGGTACAAAAACAAGGAAGAGGAAGAGATGACTGCTAAAACATTCACAATAATCGAGTTGGACGATGACGAAGTCAACTCGATGAATCCGGACATCCCCGAAGTCGAACTGGAAAATCCAGACAACCCCCATGTCGAACCTATCCAACCCGTAACAGCCCCAAGTTCTCCTACTACAGCCCCGATATCTCCAACTTTGACCGACACGGATAGCCCTCCAAACTGGGTTGGGCCAAAAGGACTCCGTTCGCTTGTCGATATCTATAATGATTCCGAAAATGTGATCCTAGAACCCGGAGAATTGTTAATGATTGCAGCGGATCAACCCTTGAACTTTGAAGAGGCGGTTACCTATAAACCATGGCGGGAGGCCATGCAAACAGAGTTGGATGCGATCGTTAAAAACAAGACGTGGCAACTCACCGACTTGCCACCGGGTCAGAAAGTGATAGGATTAAAGTGGGTCTTTAAAGTGAAAAAAGACAATCTTGGAAATGTGGTAAAACACAAAGCTCGACTTGTCGCAAAAGGTTACGTACAAAAGCAAGGAATTGATTTTGATGAAGTTTTTGCACCAGTAGCACGACTTGACACGATAAGGCTCTTTCTTTCCTTAGCAGCTCAACATGGGTGGGTTGTCCACCATTTAGATGCCAAGTCGGATTTCCTTAATGGTGATCTTGAAGAGGAGGTCTATGTAAGTCAACCGGAAGGATTCGTTGACAAAGTACATAGTCACAAGGTGCTAAAACTCTCAAAAGCTCTTTATGGTTTACGACAAGCCCTCGAGCATGGAACATTTTCTTGGATAAAAGCCTAAAAGGACTTGGTTTTTCAAAATGTTCACAAGACACGGCGGTGTACAAAAGGAACTCAAAAGGAAAAACTCTTTTAGTTGGTGTCTATGTTGATGATTTGATCGTTACCAGATCAAACAACGAAGACATTATCGAATTCAAGGACCAAATGAAAAAAAGAATTCGAAATGAGTGACTTGGGTTTACATTCTTACTACCTTGGAATAGAAGTGGCACAAAAGAAGTGGGGGATTTCTTTATGACAAACGGCTTACGCAAAGAAGATTTTGGATCAATTTGGGTTACTAGATTGCAACCCTGCAAGTTCACCGATGGAACCAAAGTTGAAAGTCAAGAAAGACGAAGACGGTGAAAAAATTGACCCGGCTGAATATAGACGAGTAGTGGGATGTTTGAGGTACTTGACGCATACTCGACCAGATTTGTCATACGCGGTTCGAATTGCAAGTCGTTGATGGGTTTTGTACATAAGAACATTCCTAAGTGCGCATACAAACCCTAATGCTCGGATCTAGGTTTCTCTATTAAACATGCTTTGAATCCAAAACTCCTAATGACTTATTAGGTATAAGAACAATACAAAACCAGAGTTAGAAGCATACCTTGAAACACTTGTTTGATCTTCTTGTTCTTGGAGCTTTAGAGTCACAATTGTCACTCCTCTAATGGCTTACAAACATCAACTAGCAAAGAGGATGATTTGAGAGAGAGGAGAGAGGTGAAATTCAGCCAGGGGTTCTCTACTTGAGATGAAGTATCGAATTCTCTCAGCCATAGGGTCTATTTATACTTGTAGACTCCTTAAGGGTTACAACTTAAACCCTAGTTGGATAACTATTACTCAAAGCAATCCAAATCCTTCCAAGATAATGCCTTGGACGAATTTAGGCTTATCCCAGCCTAGAAATCGTCCAACCCTTTATCCAATAAGGATTTACAGTCTAAAGTTTAAC